GGAACGGGGCATCAGTGCCGCGCTGCCCCCGGGCACACGCACCCCCCGCTCCGTGCCACGCGGGCACAGCAAGACTGTCCCTTACCATGGGCTGTGGCTGTGACGCCGGCGCGCTCCCCGGGTTCAGTGGGGCGTTCGGGCCTGGCCCTGGGCCTGGCCCAGGCCCTGGTCCTGGCACTGCCTGCTGGTTGCCTGGGATCAGAGGAGGGACACTGGTCTGGCGGTGCAGGATTTTCTAGGAGCAGAAGAGGGAGAAAGAAGTTCTCTCCACTCCCTGCTTCCACAACAGGCTCCGCAATCCCAGGCAAGGCAGAGGGGACCCACCAGTGCGATCTCTGGATCGACGATCCTCATGACCACCTGAGCCTGCAGCAGGGCATACGCCAGCTGCGGGTTCTGCAGCAGCATGTTCCTGGCTTCCTGGGGGCTGTTCTGCACACACAACTGAGGAGAAACACACGGGTGAGAGCTCCAGCACAGCGTGAGCGGCGGTGGGTGGAAGGGACGAGCTCTCTGCCTCCACTCACCTTCATCTGCTTCATCAGCTCAAACATCTGCTCGGGAGGCAGGCTGGCAACTGCGCGGCTGATGGACTCAGGGGCATCCTCAGGATTGACGGGGTCCCCATAGGGCGACTCTATGATGGGAGCGCCTGTGCCCAAGCCTGCAACGGAGTTTGTGACACAAGTTGTGACCTTGCTCCAAATGGCAACACCACCTGGCTGCCTTTGCTCTGCTCCTCGGAAAGGAAATGCCACAGTCACCAGCAAAGGGAGAGGCTGTCAGCGAGAGCAGGGGCAACAACCAGAAGAGAAAATACACAGTTTAGCCCACACACTCCTCTGCAAACTGCACTTGTCATCACTCGGAGCAGGTGATCTCTCTGGCGTCCCCCTCTCACCAGCGACACAGGAGAGATGTTTCCTAACATGACAGGCCAGCCCCAAACTACATCAATTTTCCCAGGCATGAAACCCGGACTCACTCTTCAGCTCCTCCTTGTTCTTCTCGCTGGCCGCGTTGTCCACGCGCAGCGCCCGGCCGCTGAACTCGCGTCCGTTGAGGTTCCGCATGGCGCTGAGCGCCGTCTCCTGGTCCTGGTACTCGCAGAAGCCATAGCCCTTGGGCTTCCCCGTCTCCCTGTCATAGACCAACCTGCAGAGCAAGGCAGGGAGCCCCACTGAGGGCAGGGGCCCAGCAGCAGCTGCG